GCAAGGGGTGCTGGTGTTTATCTCCAGCTGTCCACCCCGGACAGGTCTCCAGTCCATCGCAGAAACAAATAGGACAAAAAACCATTCACTCACACCTAAGGAGAATTAAGATAAGCCAATAAACCTAACAGTCATGTTTTTGGACTGTGGGAAGAAGTCAGATTTGACCAAAAATATATACCAGAAATGCCTGTTTTCAGTTTGGGTCCACGCCAGGGTACATTTCACCTAGTTTAGTCCAGCACAGGTGGAAGTAATTAAATATTTAATATGGGATTAGTCTGTGTCTAACAGAAATGGATGAAGTGTATATTGTATTGATAATTTTTTGCCAGCTATCATTGGTTAGTGCTTAACCTAAATCCACTGCCTTTTAAGCGGGAGAAATGTTAAGTATTTAATATCTTGAATGGTGGAGTAGAGTTGGGTTGCAGGGGGTTGCAGAGCAGAGAAGATGGTTCTCACAGCTGTTTTATGAGCAAAGCTTCATCCTCTCCTCAAGTGAACATGTTAAGATGAAACATGGACATTGGTCCTCAATGTCCAAAACTTTATCATGGTTTATGTTCCAACAGTGTTGTATTGTTACATGGCTTCATCTGTACGCACATTATATATTCTAATGGCTAAACCACACAAACTCATGGACGATACACACATGCAAAAAAACTTTCAAATACAAAAATTTATGGTACAGATCTTTTGCAAAATAGATAATTTTCTCCCTCGGTTTTATAAAACATTACCGTGCCGGAAGGGCAGTTATGCTTTATTCTCTTTTCCTTTTAGTATTACCATATTTTATTTAATTACCAGTATTACCTGCGTCTCCATGGCTCTGTACCTCATCTGTATCTCATGGCCACTCTCAGTCTGCCTGTAGGACATGCAATCTGCTCATTTGAATGAACCAAATAGTTTAAAAGTCTCCACATTTTGTGCAGCAATCCTTGTAGATCACCTGCAACCCGTGCAGTCAAATCACTGTATGTACAATTTAGTGCCTTTAATTTAAACTGAGCTCCATAATCATTACAACAAATGCAGTTGTTTTTAAAGGCTTTTGTCTTGCTTTTCATTATCAACGGAGCATTTTCACCGTTACAGGCAGCTATTGGTGACGGATAAGAGCCGGCAGAAAGAGGAGAATCCCAAACAGAGGATGTTTGCTCTGATAGATTCAGTTCTGAATAAAAGCTGAGAACTGGAACGGCTTCTACAGCAGCAGCTGGGATGTAACTAAGAGCTGCTTTTTGTTCACAAAGAATAACATTTCCATTTCAAAGAGAGTTGATGTGTCATTTACAGTTATCTGTTTCCATCTAGTTAACGTTTCCAATGGCTTCCTCAGGTAATTAGGTTTTGTTCAAATGTAAGGCCAAATGACACAGAGCCATGAGAGAAGGCATGAGATCAGATAAGGACTGTTAAATTAGAAGGCTAAAGCTTTTTGGAGTAAAATGATTTAATGTCCAGATCCTCAGTCAGTGATTTAGCCATGAATCCATGCAGATCCCAAACTTACAGCAGTTCACTTTATTATCAATGATATGCGATGGTTTTATTCCTGCTGAGCGTTAACTTGCCTTCCATCAGTATTCTCGTCTCTTTTTGTAGTTTTCTAGAATCTAAAGGAGTGAACGAACCTCCTGACATGAAATATTTTCCTATTTCACCCACTTCACACCTTAGTCCTAAACCGAGGACGGCCCAAAAACGGCCGTCTGCTTAAATCCCAAAGAAAATCTATAGCATCCGTCTTTATTGTGACTCGTAGGCTTTTATCTTGGTGTCTTACCTCATTCACAAAGACCCAGTGGCTGTCCTTGGAGGCCAAGTTTGTTTCCACAGCCTGCAGACACACAGAGAGAAGGAGGAAAGTTAGGATCATCAGGGTCATTTGGGTTAAGAGCCGCTGTCTGCTGAACCACTGCTGTTTCCATCACAGGTCGTCCTGCCAAACATCAAACCAGAAAAGTTTTCCCTGCAGCGCTGGACCAGTTCTGGAAACGCTCCACTAAGTTCTGTGAGCTCCTTTGGTTGCTGAAAGTCCCATGGTGTTTGTTAGTGATGAAGAGCGGCGCAGCGGCGGGATCACTTAGCCGACCACAGTGAATTAGCAGGTCGGGGCTCTGAGCCCATCTGAGTGGAAAAGATGAAGGAACGGATCAAAAAGTGACGCATCAACCGCCCACAGCCCGGAACTCTGTCCTTGGTCCTGAAATTCGTCCTTTCAATTAGCACTGACTCCATCAGAGAAGGAACATAAGTTTTATGAGAATTAATATTAATATCAGCTTCAGGTGCCAGATTAGACTTATTTTACCTTTCTAGTAAAACCTTTGGAGATATTTATAGATATACATGTTTCCATTTTTGAAAGATACAACCATGACAGGAATAATCATCAGAAGCAAAAATTCTCTGCTTATGATTTTTAATATTCTAATATTCTTCTAGAAAACCTTGCTTTGAAAAGTAGATGAACAGTTCAAACACATGATGCAAGCAGGAAAACACTGCAGCTTTATTACCTCTGCAGGCCTGAGTGCTGCTGTCAAGCTGGGAATAAACATTTAAGAGCAGAAACAACAAAACAAGGCATGCGTGGTGTTGGAATAGCTGTATTTTTCCACCAACTGCGGCGCAGCCTCGCAGGAAGCTGATGAGGTATTGATCGGACTGACTGCTATCCACTGGATGAAAGCGGAGTGGTGGGAGGCAACTGAAGAAAGACAGCGACTGGTTTTTGGATGCAAACATGTTTTCTTCTGTTAGAAGAGAAACACAGAGACTGAGACTCTAGATCTACTGGGAATCATTTTCATCTGAAACCATCAACTAAAGTCCCAGAAGCAGAGTAATGGGGAGGGGGCTTGTCTTTTCTTTTCTGGATTATTTCATGAAACATAGATTCATAAAGAATTAATCCTTTATTAATTGTTTCCTTTTTCCTGTTTAAGAACAACAAAGCAAAACCCTAAGATCATGCAGACCTGCGCTAAGCAGCTGTAAGGGCAGATTAGACTTCTGCCACCGCACACATCAAATGGCGCTTGGGTCTGGTCGCAAACCAGTGTTGCTGGTAAGGTCCGTGCAGGTTTGCAACCATCCGACGCGTAGTCAGGATGTTTTTGAGGTGTGCGACATCGGTAGCAGAACCTCTGCATGGGATCCTGCTCTGACCCTGCTCCCCCCTTGAGGGATCTACTTCTCGTCCCACGTGCTGAACATCCGAGGCTCCAAGTATGGCTAGGGCCCACCTCCTCCCCCTTCTTATGCTCCCAACAGTGACAGGTGCTTGTGTCTCTTGGCCTCCTGATGGTGTGGGCGCTGTCATTCCTGGTGGCTGCCGGGCCTGAGCCTCCTGGTCCTGTGGGGGTCTCCCACCTGTGGGGCACCTGTGGTGCGAGGTGCTGAGGCCCCGTGGGATCCCGATACTATGGCCCCTCAGGGACTGGGCCCCTTTTGGGCTTTGGCTCCTAGGGATCTGGCTCTGGGTGCTCTGACCCCCCTTCTCTGGTGGGTGTCTACCCTCCTTGAGTCCCAGTGATCTGGGTGCCTCTGGATGTCCTGAGGCGTTTGTTTGGTAGTTTGACACCAGAAATGAAGCGAGCTACGATGACATACGTAAAGCGGTGCATTATCGTTGTTTTAAAGTTATAGGGGAATATCTTTATATATATCGGGAAATATCAGTTATCGGTCATGAAAAGCGATGCCAATAACGATATCGGCCCAAATTTCCAGACCCCTGCATCCCTAATCATTTCATTTTTTGGGAAAATAGTCTTAAATAGTATTTAGTTTAGATTAATATAATACAGCCAGTGAAGTACAGCTTATTTACATCTATGTTTTACAGCTTGCATTGAGAAGGCTACAGAGCAGATCACTGAACTAGAAACTATTTCTTGTTTTTAACAAGCTGTTAAAAAAAGAGAAAAAAGGTTGGAAAAAATGGTCCAACTCTTAAATAGAAATCCGAAATAATGTTATTGATGCCATAAACACTCAGATTCCAGTCATTTAAAGCCAGTCCACAGCTCTTCCTGTTCTCCAACTGCTTCCTCATTCAGCTTTTATCTTCTGTTTGTTTCTGATTCTGTAGGAAGCGCTTGGCGTTCCTGTATTATTATTATTATTATTATTATTATTATTATTATTATTATTTTGTGTTACAGCAAGCAGTTCTTCTTCTTCCGCTGTACTCTGTTCTTCCATAGCCTCTCCGGTATGTTGCTGCTCAGCTACCTGAGCAGAGCTTGGTGGGTGTGGCCTCCAGGTGAAGCTGAACCTTCATTGTTTTCCTGCAGTCATCAGGAGGTCTTTGCTTTGCTAAATCCATCTGGGATGCCGTGAGACTCTGGCAGAACCAGGTCTAGAACTTTAGCTGAAGTGCAGAACTGAACATCCTGAAGGCAATAGATTCACAGAGTGTAGATATTCATCCAACGATGCGGTGCAGGATGAGAACTGTGAGTAGTTTAGCGTTGGGTTATGGAAATTAGCTAAAAGTCTTCAGGAAGTTCAGGAAGTCTGTCTTCCTTCATAGTGTGGAAACGTTTCCATTTAACAGGTTTCTGAAATCAAGATTGCATTAAACCATCATCAGAATTACGGATAACATGAATGATTACATCCTTTATTTCTGCTGAATAATGCTGAAGTTATATCTGCTGCTTTTAAGGATTTTATATTTTTTTATGTCACCTAAACAGCTTAAATATACGGCTGTCATATTTTTTTATTCTCCTCTCTGGATCAGACTGTTCCTCCAACGTTTCAGGCTGAAAAGACATTTCTTCTGTTTTTCGCATCGTTTTACATATTTTTCAAGGAAACAGTTTCTGTGGCGGCGATTCTCCTTCCTCTGATCTCTTATTATCAATATAGTGGAAGTGAGTGAAGTCATAGATTCGTATAAAGAGGCAAACCCAGACTTTCCTCTGTGATTTCCTGTTCTTTCTTATTCCTGTTGGTCTCTGAGTTTCTGCTCCTGGAGGAAGAGGTTAGTTAGAGGAGGAATAAAAAGGATTTAAATCCTCTTTAAGATGGAAATGAATGTTTCTATTCGTAGTTCAGGGGACGACGTGTTTGTTTTGAAAATGACTCATCGTGGCTGAAAAGCAGGACGGCAGACATGTTTTGGAGAAAAGCTTTTTTTCTGTGAGAAGCAGCAGATCTCAGGGGGTTCTGGTGGGGGGGTGGAGTCAGGCAGTTTCCTCTCTGCTGCTTCTGTGGGTTCATTAGTGCAGACAACAAGCATTAACAGGCTGTGAGCTTTTAACACCATGCTAATGGAAGAGACAGGAGGAGACCCAGGAGGATGCAGCGGGCAGGAATCTGCCTCCATGAGGCCAGAAAACAAACCTGAGTGAAGTTAGTTGATCAGAAATAAAGAACCAGAATCCAGAAGGAATGTTTCCAGTAAAGCTTTGCAGTTTCAACAACATTATGTGGAGAAGGCCATCAGTCAACTTAATTATACCGTCTGAGTTCCCCATGTCAATATCAGACGCAGGACTTCCCCCTGCAACTCATGTTCAACTTTTAGCATCATATTAGAAGATTATTAGATTATAGGACAGATTATAGGACAGATTATAGAATAGATTATAGGACAGATTAAAGGGTAGATTTTAGGACAGATTATAGGATATATTATAGGAGAGATAATAGGATAGATTATAGGATATATTATAGGAGAGATTATAGGATAGATTATAGGAGAGATTATAGGATAGATTATAGGATATATTATAGGAGAGATTTTAATAGAATAGAATAGAATAGAATTCAACTTTATTGTCATTGCACTGTCACAAGTACAAGCAACGAAATGCAGTTAGCATCTATCCAGAAGTGCTATACAGGATATAAATATACATTACAAGTGTACAGAGGGTATGTATAAATAGACTATAAAATGTATGTATAAACAGTATAACAGCATTAACAGTGATTGAGGCTGTAAATGAATATAGACACTATATACATGTATACAACTATACAGAGATGTTACCTGGATCATATAAATATATATATTAGTGGGGTTATAATGTATGGTACAAGTTGACATATTATATACACGGATTGTGAATGCCTGTGAGGAAGCAGTTTGTGGTTAGTGTGAGGAGCGTCCATGGTTATTGTTGTGTAGGGGGATGGGAGTACAGTCCTTATAGTTCGTGTCATGAGGCGTTCAGAAGCGTGACAGCTGTGGGTAAGAAGCTGTTCCGGTGCCTGGTGGTTTTAGTCCGTATGCTTCTGTAACGCCTCCCAGAGGGCAGGAGAGAGAATAGTCTGTGTGCAGGGTGAGTGGGGTCCTTGCTGATTTTCCCGGCCCTTTTCAGACACCGCTTCCTGTAGATGTCCTGGATGGCAGGAAGCGGTGCCCCGGCGATGCGCTGGGCGGTTTTCACCACCCTCTGCAGCGCCTTCCGGTCCGAGGCAGAGCAGTTCCCATACCAAACTGTGATACAGTTGGTGAGGATGCTCTCGATGGTGCAGCGGTAGAAGTTTGTGAGGATCTCTGTGGACAGATAGTTCTTCCGCAGGGTCCTCATGAAGAAGAGGCGCTGGTGGGCCTTCTTGATGAGTTTGGAGCAGCTGGTCGTCCAGGTCAGGTCCTCAGAGATGTGGACACCCAGGAACTTGAAGCTGTCCACACGCTCCACCGCCGTCCCCTTGATGTGGATGGGGGGGTGTGGGTCAGCGTTCTTCCTGAAGTCCACAATGAGCTCCTTGGTCTTCTCTGTGTTCAGCTGCAGGTTGTTTGAGTCGCACCATTCAGCCAGACGGTCCACCTCCTCCCTGTAGGCGGCCTCATCGTTGTCTCTGATGAGGCCG